TTTGTTCCAGCTGCTCTGCGAGTTATAAAGACAGATCTGTTAGGTTGTTCCTGATGAACTAAATGGCCAGTTATACTTTCTCTACAATCAAAGTCAAAACTTCAGCTCATTATTGGCATATTTCTGGACCATTGATTACTTTTTTAAATATAATAAAGCCAGTAAAGGCTGCTTTGTTACAAAGTGCTACCGTCATCAAAAATATACTCAAATATAACAGATACAGTAGATTTTAAACAGTACCTCTGTGAAGTTTCTTGATTTTTACAAGCAGACCAATGATGACCATCAGAAGCAGAACAGTCAGACCACCCAGAATCACAACCATCAGGTTTGTATTTTCATCAGACTTTTCTGCAACAGAGATGAACAATCAGAGTAAATGTTCTCTTCTGTGGCTTGTGATCTCACTTACATTTGAGGCAGTAAATGAAACTTTGCTTTGAGACTTGCAGTCGTCGTCACCGTCAGATTCACTGTTGTCTGAAATGAATGGAAATAATGTGCAGCTGTCACTAAAATTCTGAACATATTTTTTTGTCATGAGATGAAGTCAACAAGGAATCGAAAGACATAATTTACTGTAAATCTTCCCTTGATGATATAAGTGTATTACTTTGACTGTTGGGTGTGAATTTGCGTAAAATCCACAATAATACAGTCCAGAATCTGATAAATCTACTGGTCTGATTTTTAAAGAAGACAGTCGCAGTTTTGGAGCTCATTTATGATGATCCATTTTGAAATCCCTTTTAGTGTGGGACACACAATCAAAAAGACACAAACCACTTTACAACAGTCTTACCTTGAACCTTTAAATATGTTGGACTGACCAATGCTGAGAGTCCATCTTTGCAACATCCACAGAAGTAGAGTCCAGAGTCAGATACATCCACACTTTTGATCTTCAGAAAGAGGTTTGTGATGTTTGATGTCATTATAAAGTTCCCATTTTTAAATCCATCACAGAGCGAAGCGTTGCTATCAGAGCTGCTCATAGACGAGATACAGCTGATATTGGGTTCACTGGTCATCCTGAACCAGAAAATGTTAGCGGCCACACTAGTGTAGTTGTTGCACATCAGTGTGACTTCATGAGCAGGCTGAACCTCCACAATGAGAAACTCAGAAACTGAGACAGAGATCCAACCTGAAGGAAACAATGGATTCATGAACTTCTCATTCAGACATTAATCAATTATGTGTATTAATTGATGCATAGAAAGAAAGCCAGCAGCTGTAGTGAGAAAAACAAAAACATGTACTTACTGAAGGTGCAGAGTAAAGCAGCTATGAAGGTAAAGTTCCCCATGGTGTGTACAGTACGACTCCACCACATCAGTGTTTGTAGCTGAACTTTGCTTCAGTAGGAGTGATGTGAACGTTAAGAGGTGGGCTGGACTTATATTTATGCGCCTGCTCAGTCTGACACTGTCAATGCTTCTAAAAAATGTCTACAATTGTTTCTACAAGGAGAACAGTTCAGTGTTTTCATCTTGTTTGGTCGTAGTCTGCACAATGGAGGTAATGTTTCAGCAAGAGATCAGAAGACTGCAAACTAACTGCAGCAGTCTGTTAATGTCCAGACAAAGTAATGAATTGTAATCTTTGATGTTGTTCAATCAGATGTCCAATAGAGGTTTTATTAAAAGTTAATGTATTAATCAAACTAGTTGACACACACATTATTGCATAGAGGTTTAATTCTTCTGTCTACATTTCATATATATTTTTATGATGATACAGATTGTTCTGATGTAGTCGTTGAGGAAGTTGACTGATTCCGTAACTGATAACAGCCTGTCACAGGCTATTTTAGCGGCCAGATACAGATCAGGAGCTTCACTTATGTTGGACCACAACAGGAGGTTTCATTGCATTTACATTTACTTCAACATGAGATCACGTGAGGTGGCGCACTGTTTGCTCACTCTGGTATGACATTTTTTAATAATATTTTTCAATGTATGATGTGCTGTTATTTTCAAATCTTGTTCTGTGCATGCATGACTAAGAGTAGAGAGAAAAATGTTTCTGAAGTTTCTCCTTACAGTATAATGCAACATCAGCTCGGAAAAATGTGTTAGGATTTTAACACGGGACTCCCAGAGGTCCTGTGTCTGTGCTCCAACAGTTCAAATCTGTTCTGGCGACATGAAAGGAACCTTCATAATATCAGGCAGGTGGCTTTAATGTTGTGGCTGATCCATGGATAAAGACAATCACCAGTCTTTTTAAATGAATTGTATTTTTATTCAGACATGCAGCACATTGACATCAACAAATGTCCAAATTCCACAGTGATGTTACGTAGAAGCATCTATACAAATGTACATTTTGAGAAAAGTCAGCCAGTGTTCACTGCTTCAGTTCACACTTTGTTCCTACAAAGCTTTGAGCTAACAGGCCTCTTGATCTCCACCTCAGCTGTCCTCAGACCACACTGTGTTGTCTCTTCCTGTCTCAGCAGTGACGTGTACTCTCTCTCTCCTCCACTGCTGCTCACTCTGACTCTCACTATCAGAGACTG